TGTCGCTCACACACTGACAACTGGACAGCATCAGCTGGGTTTGGGTTTACAGAGGACAGATGAGCACTGAGTAGTAAGGCACAGAAATCCTGAATGCTAAGACATCTGGACTTGATGCCAATGCAATGGGCACAGGTGCTCCTGAGTCCATCGAGAGGATGAGGAGGAGCCAGTGTTGGATAAAGGAACAAAATAACGTCATGTGACATTTAATAGAGGGAGTCTAATAAGACTGTGAACAGGCCATCAGTAAGGTGGAATAACGAGAGAACTGTGCTCATCACAGGAGATCTGATGATAGAAAGGTCTTGAAAAGAAACCCCTACAGAGAAGAGACAGAGAAGGGCTACAAAGTGACAGTGTATAATCACAGTCCTTCAAAGCTCAGCAGGAGTGAAGAGAATGGGAGAAAGGTGAGCAGAGGTAAGAGACTAAAGGTCAGAGGTCAGAATCCAGGAACTATAGAAGAAAAAGTCTGCACACTTAAAAAGTTAGTGGCACAGTCATGTTGGAAATTACCCAAGCACAGTGGAGATGGACAGCCTTGGAGAGAAGGATGAACAGAACCTGGTTGCTGACATAAATACTGACATTTGTAGGGCTGGGGAAGCTGTGGAGTCGTAGGGAGCAAGTCTAGAGCAAGAGTGGGATCACAGCATGTACAAGCCCCGGAAATCTCATCCAGCAAGAGGAGGACTCCTCCCTCCATGCCCTGGGCCTGCATGTCCTGACACACATGGATGTAGCCCCACCTTTGTCCCACCAGTAGAGGTCATGCAAGATGGTAACCAGGTTAAACTTTCTTTCCTCTTATAAGGTCATATCCGGCAGCATCTGGAATTCCTCTTTATGCAAATGAGGCATTCCCAGCATCCTGGCCTGAGCCAATGATGTGCATTCACCCAAAGCCCCTACTCACCCTCCAAAGGTTTAGCCTTAGTTTCCCCCAATTAAATGAGCTGCTCAATGAAGCTGCCTCCCCAGAAATCTGTCTCTCATCCAGCTCACTTGCTACTTGCCTTCTCTATCACCGCTGGCCAGTCTGTCTCACTTTCCCTCTCAGGCCACTCGTCTGATGGAGAGCATCATGAGGAGAAGTGGAGCAGGAATGACGGAGTTCCCTACTGATGACTGCGGAGGAGTGAAAAGTGCTGCCTGGTGCTCCAGGTGGTGCTGATGTTGGAAGAGTGTAATGCATACTAGGAAAAGCAGAGATGAAGATGCAGATGGCATCATGAGATGCTGAGCTGGGCTTTGGGAACTGGAGAAGATCTACAGACATGTAGGCATCAGGTAGGCTGAGATGGGGGGTGGATGTAGGGCTAGAAATGAAGAAAGCTAGAAGTCACTACAAATAGGCCACCGTGAGGGTGAGTGGAGGTAGAAGCAGAACATGTCTACTCATAGCTGATGTGCTCACATGACAGCAAGGGCCGGGGAAAGTACAGTTAGTCACTGAACTGGCATTCTGTGCCGAAGTTAAAATGCGAAGGTTCATTACTGTAATCCCAGTACTCGGGAGGCACAGGCAGGTGGATCTTTGTGAGTTCAAGGCTAGCCTAGTCTACAAAGTGAGTCTAGGACAGAGAGCCCCTGTCTTGAAAAACCAAAAACAGGAAAACAAAGCTGAGAAGTAGCAGTCTACTGTCTTGTGCACACAGGCATCCTTTCCTAAAGTAAAACGTGTGTAGCTGACAATGCTGGGAAGAAGTGCCCCAAACATTTAAACTTATTACAAAGTAACGGTTACACTTCTGTGCCCACCCAAAGAAGGCAAGCACACACAGCTGTTCAGATCACACAGCTCGCTGGGCACTCTTGCACATGCTGCAATGCTTCTGCCACCAGATCCATAGAAACACTTTGGACCCCTCCATCCTCTGACATGAATGGAAGGTTGCTGTAGCAATGGGCAGAGGTATGACAGGGGTCCTTACATTTCTTCCTTTTTCATTTTAGTAACAAATGCCAGCATCTATGTTAATTATGCATTAACATAAAAGCTTCCCCATCCCCTGATTTTAAACACTCTGTTGCGTCCTCTTGACACACTGGGTAGTTCTGCAATGTTTGCCCATAAAAAAAAAAAAAAAACACAAGCATTTCTCACTTCTTTCTTTCTTTCTTCTATTTATTATTTTTTTGATATTTTAAGTCTCAAGAAAACTCAATATTAATCAATATAAATTGAGAGCTGTTCCTTCTCAATCTTCTACCATAATGTGCTGCACAGACTCGAATCAGGGAAGCTACAATATCTCAAGAAATAGCTTGAAAGAGAGCACACACAGGTAGGTAAGGCGGGGTAGGGGGGAGCTTCATATAATTCCAAGATTCACAGAGACTTGAAGTGAGCTGGTTAGGATTCTCTGACAGAGAAACTTAGACCTGGACGAAGACTCATGTTTCCTTCAAAGTCAAGATTGTTCGTAAAGGTCAGTGCCAGCCAAGAAAAAAGCCATCTCTACGTATTGTTATTGCACACTTGAAATATAGCTGCTCTGAGGTGGGCTATAAATGTCAAATATATATTAGATCTCACAGATTTAGTGTTAGAACACATGATATCTTATGATGTATCTTCAATGTTTTATGCTAAAAATGTAAAGCATTGTAAAATATTAATCACACTAAAATAATAATTTAGACATATTAGAGTTTAATTAAAAATATGATTAAAGTTCATTTTTATATGCTTTAAAGTATGACTTCCTGACATTGCATACATGGTTCTGAAGCTGTTTCTACCAGGCAGCTGATGACCACTTGACAGCTGACTGGCACTTTTCACCCGGGCCACTAGGAGGCAGTGGTCAAGTCTGCTGTGTTAAAAGGACTGAGGTTCCTTTAGCCCAAATTTTAGTGCCCTCATTTATTAAATAGGAACGGGGAGTGGCTGCTTCTTAGCAATAGATCTGTGCTCACCATATGCAAAAAGGATGAATTACATGCTACACTACAGAAAGAGACATGGCTTTATAAAGCAAACTACAATATCTCAAAAGCTGGCTGAAGAGAGAACCAGGGCAAGGATGCTGAAAACAATAGATCCTTTGCTTCGCCCCACATTTGCAACATTCTTACCCTTTTCTTGGCTTCTACTCATTCTACTCAGAAGCCCATTAGGGAGGCAGAGGTGAGCTCAGCACCATCTAAATGCAGATTGGCCCTGCAGTTTTCTGTATCACCTTCCTCAGTCATTAAGCAATGCAACCTCTGGGTAATGAAAATAAACAGAACTGTTTCCTTCAGAAAGTCTATTAGGAAGTTTATACAAGGCCAAGGCAAGCTCTTACACAGCTTGACATTATGTCATCTTGGGGCTGGGGATCTATTTAGGAAAAAAGAGAAAGGAAAGTAAACAAGACAAGGAGTCAAAGGCAGAGTTCAATCCTGGGTCTATGACAAGCCTAGGTCAGGGTCACAGAGCTCTCTGCAGAAGCCTTGGGTTCCTGACCTTTGAAATGAGATGAAGATGGTAAGACATTTTAGCACAGGTGGTTTTAAGAATTATTAATGCAGTTATATACAGGCACTTATATATCACAAGTGTACCATGTATATAACTTACTTGTCTGTTACAAAGTTAGCTACTAACATGATTTCATCCACTGGATTCTGAGACTCACACTGAGACATGGCTGCTTCTCTCTTTGCATGAGTCTTAGGATTCCCCATTCCCTCTTCCCTGTTCACATCAAGAAAAGCACCATTAAAAAATGAAAGGCTCCAGAAACCAGCAAAGTCTTACATAGATGTAAAGCCAGACTGTTGATTTGGGGAACTTCTGGGTGGGAAGGAAAAGCCTTATGCTGGTGAATCAGCAGCTTCTCTCACTGCCTAGCAGCCTTTGCCATGTTCTAAGCATATGTTCCTATAGAGGAACTCAGATATCATCAGTGAAGACAGACTGGATTAACATCTTCGGCTTGGTCCCCAGCAGGAGGAAACATGACAGAACCCCTGCTCCAGAGTCATGCTGTACAGTTTGAGCACAGAGCTCTGGACTTCATTCCTGACAAGGAGTCTCATTCTGCAGCCAGCCATTCAGCTTGGCTTCTTAGAAAAGAAATACACATTGAAAAGGTCTCTAAATCCAGTGCTATAGAAGCCAGTTCCCTGTGGAGACACACCTGTGGGGTTTCTACCCACACAGTGATTTGAGCCACACAAAAAAAGCACACACAGACACTGCAGTGCCATTCAAATCTGAGTCCTTACAATTTCACATGGTGCTCACAGAGGTTCTAAAGTGAAGTAAAGGTGTTGCTTGCAGCTAGCTGTCTTAAACTAGAACCCATCCTTCTCATGCCTTTTGATCTGTTATTATTTTATGTTTTAAGATTTATTTTTATTCATGCATAGGTTTATGTGAGTCTGTATGAGTATGTGCACATGTAGGTGCCTATGGAGTCCAGAAGAGGTATTAGATCCCCTGGAGAGCTAGAGTTATAGGCAGTTATGAGCTGCCCAAAGTGGGTACTTGGAACTGAGTTCTGGTCCACTTAAGAGGAGTGTTTGCTCTTAACTATTGAGCCAACTTTGCAGCCCCTCCTGAGTTTGTTCAAACAAGACTGGCTTTGTTTTTAACCTTAATTCAAGCTAAGCATGAATCCTGATCAAGCCTATCACTTACCTCAGAGAACACTGCTTTCTTTGAAGTGTATTATAGAATGTGAGTCTTGGAAGGGCTATACCCTACCGACTCCTTCATAAAGACGTACAAGGGACTAGAAGCACTGGAAAGCTATTTGCGCACCCACTCTGTGCAACACAACATATCCTAAGTTTTCTTGGCTGTGTAACCCTTCTTAGTGTCCTGTGACAGACCATCTATCTCAGAAAGACACCCTGAGATATATCGCTTTTAACTAACAAGAAATAGAATTAATTTCAATGAGAGTATACAACATCTCTAGGAAGAGGCATCAGTAGCACAATGAAATAAGGGTTTCTGGAACTCTGCAGGTCACCTAGCCAGCAGAAGCCAGTCTACTTACTTGAGGAGATTCCCGAGATTGAAAAGTGCACGGTTGTGCTGTGGGTGGAGTTGCAATGCCTTCTGGTAGTACATCTTAGCTTCCGCCATGTCCTTTGTCAGGGTCCCAAGGTTGTTCAGTGCACTTGCATGGCGTGGGTACAGCCTGGAAAATCAAAGTGTTAAACTTGGACTTCTACACTGGCACTTTAAGCATGCCACAGCCTAAATGAACCCTGAAGCTTTCCTTGTAATGGAGCGACTGTATCATATCTTAAGGGCCAAGTGCTTTTACAGCTGAAGGCATGTAAATAAAAACAACAGAAGGCAAAACCTTTAAACTCAGGTATAAGGAAATAAGCCCCAATACTGCAAGAGTAAATATATTTTAGTCCTTCAGAGGCTGATTATATACCTTCAGCCAAGGAATCTTCCTTGCTTTGGTGGGAATTTTCTGTTGAAGTTCCACAGTCCCACCAGTTCCTGTTCACTGTTTACAGCTGGTGTGGGGTCCCTTCAAGGAGGGAACTTTTCAAGTATCTTTGGATCAGAACCTAAGTAAGACTGCCTCAACCGAGAAAGGATGGAAGTCACATGTTGTCTCCCCATAAAAGAATAGCTGATCTTGACCCTTTCCCCATTTTCTGTCACTTCCACTTAGCTTGATATAGTTCTTAGAATCTTGAGAACAGTTCAGACACAAGATTAACATGTAATGAAGTAAAAGCCAGCTTTCCTAAAATTCAAAACAAATAAAGAGCAAGGTGGAGTATGTTTCAGAAAACTAAATTACCCAGATTAAGGGAATGGGGTGGGGGTGTCAATTCAGTCTTTCATTTATGAAGGTAGAACCGACATGCAGTCAGCCCTTTCTGACCCTTCTAGAGTGGACATACAAGCTAACAGGCTAGTGTCACACACCCACAGAGCAGGCCTTCAATGCAAAAAAGCCAAGACAATGCTCACCCCAACAAGTGCTAACGCAAATGGCATTTTCATTTTGAAGCATTTTCTCATAGGTCAACTCATTTAAAATTCCTTATATAGTGTTTACCATTGGGGAAATGGAGGCTGAACTTAAGCAGTCTGTCCTCTCCCTCTTCTCTTTTTCCTTTCTCTCTCTCTCTCTCTCTCTCTCTCTCTCTCTCTCTCTCTCTCTCT